TAAGTTAAAGTTATAAGTGTAAGTTTCCAGAACCTGGAGATTTCAGATTTACATATTTATCTAACTTTGGAATATGATGAGCCTGCATTTAAACCACAGAGAAGGGGTAAAAGGTTGCCATTTGGGTCAAAATAGGAAAATCATTCTATGTGAAAGGTGGTGTGTATTAAGCTTATAACTAGCATATGTAAGCGCTATAATTCAGTTGAACTGTAGAATCACTTCAGCAATACCTAGGATGTGGCTAAAGAAGCACTAGTGAAAAAGACGCGTGATTTAGTGTGAACAGAAATCTGTAACTGTTGGCTTGACAGTATAAACGTGAAATTAATATGGTCAGAATTGAATATGTTAAAATGTTTAGTGTTTTAGAAGCTATTTGCTTTGCAAAAACAATTAGGTTTCTTTTAATCAAAGAAATTAAGGTCAGCAAACAAAATTAACTTGGAGCCTTTATTAAGCATCTGGGTAAGACAGCAGAAGTTGCCTAAGTTGGACAGGAGAGCTTATGTTTCAGCAACAGATTTGTCACTTTATCCTTGTGAAGGGTTTATGAGAATCACAGTTTCTTCAAGTAAGGTCTGTGTATGGTGTCATACCCTGCTACCCTTATGCTGCCAGCTAATGGCTGGATCACAAACTCAGGAGGGAAGAAAATGAGATACAATTCCCCACACTTTTAGTTACTGCATAAAGAAGTACAGAGGGCTGAAACATACTGTTTGATTTATTATTCACCATTTAATTTTTCATAATTGATTACTTTTCTTCTTATTACAGTAAGTTCTGTACGTAGTTTAAAAGTATGACATTACATTTTTACTGTTCAGTTTGATGCAGTTCAGTAAGTATTTTACTGAAATAGAAATTGGTAAGATGTTGGTTCAGCTCTAGCCAGTAAGTACACCAAAGTTAGATATAACAATCAACTAACTTCCCAAATTACACAACTACATTTATTTTAATGACTAGGTACAGAAAAAGCCTGATAAAATTAATGAAGATCTCCTTACTGATGGAACAACAGGAAAAAAAGGAAATCAGGGATCAGTTACAAGGTAATGCATAATTTGCTTGTACTTGTACAGTGCCAGGACATGTTTTTTGTTACTAATAGCACGTAAATGTTTCTTACTTGATAGTGATACAAATATGTAAATAGGCTCCCCAAGGGTTTTATAATATAAATAAAAGAGAGGAAAAGATGAGCTATAATGTCTTGTACATCTTGTTATTTATTTCCTTTTTAATCCCTCCTTTGCATTTCTAGTTCATTTTCTCCATTGGCTTATTTTTGTTTTATTGTGGCAGGGAATCAGTCTTAGTGTGAAAATCTCAGCCAGTAATGTGGTACTCAGATATATCAAAGTGAACATCAAAAAGCAAGCTATGATGCTGCTTGTCTGCTGCTAGACATAATTTATGAAAGCTCAAGAAGTGTTTTTGTATTTGTCAATAAAATACGTTTTACTTTAAAGTCTGAGTTCTATAAATAATTGTAATAAACATCTCGAGCTTTACATCTGGGGCTAATAACATTTTAGTATTTTTAGTTTTCCATATACCATTGTAAAATTTTGTTTTCAGTTGCTCATAATGTTGCTCATCATTATGTTGTCTGTGGATGGCATGTGGTTCAGGCTGATTTTCTTAAAATTTGCATTTATTTTTTAGTAATAAGATACAAATTTCTATGAAATTGTTAAATCATTTTTGAGAATGAGATAAGGGCAAAAAAGGATGTTTTGTCTTTGATTAGAAAAATAATTTTTGAGGTGGCTTTTTTTTTAATCTATTAGTATATCTGTGCTGTGGATCAGAACATGGGGCGTTGTATAATTTTCAAAGACATGTTAATCGTCCTTTCAAGCACATTTCAATCAGATGACCTTTGACCGACGTATCTTAGAAACAGTAGTCTGGATGCTCACTGAGCATTCTTTCCTTGTAACACTTCAGAGACCTTTTTCACAAGAAACACCTCAAAAAGATAATGTTGTCAAGTGTGAAAATTGGGGTGCTGGCAAAAGTACTTATTGAATTGACAATGAATTGATTTCTTAATGTCAAAGAAGAATGAGGTTGGGTCTTTAATCTGTAAGGCTGGTAATACAGTAAATTCATACACTCATGATGATAATTCCTCTTCTGGATCTTCAAGGCTGTTGTTGGGGAGCCTTTATTTGCAATACATTGTTTCCATACCGGACTCCATCTACTCTGTAGGAAACACCCATGTTTGCTTTCAGAAAGCCTGATTTCCAGCACAAGTTGTTTCTGCAGTATGCTATCAAATGCTAAAGTGTCATGGCTGTATAATAGCAAAGCCAAAGAAGGTAATGCCTTCTGAAATCACCAACTCAGGGCTAATGACTTCACTGGGTAAACAACTTAGTCCAAGTAATCATAGACCTCTTTGCCTTGAAAGAAAAAAGAAATTGTAGTAGCTTTGTCCATAAGTAACTTTAAGCATTCAGGATTTACCGCTGAGGTAAAGTCTGATTCCTCCATTGTTCAGAACATCTTTGGACTAAAATTCAGCTAGTAAGAAAGTGATAAGGTCAGTATGAGGGATATAAGGAGAATGGCTTTTTCATCACTGTTTTCTCCGTACCCTAAAGACTTTCTGGCCCCAAACAATTGCTGCGAGACTCAAAAAAGGTTTTCTTCCATTTTCAGTAGCCTTGGCAATGGTTGACAGTCACAAAGACTGTTAAAGAAGATAAAGAAAAGACATAGCAGTTCTACTTTATCTAGTAAACAGTTGACCCCAATTAATCCTCAACACACACATTTCTTGGTAGATCCAGGACTGGCTTCTGTTTCAGCTTTATCCTGTCTTGATAATGCCTCTTATATCTCAAGTACCTGGACATAATTTATTGAGTGTCTATTGCTGATTTTATGTTTATCACCATTTATCCACAGATTATTTTACTGTTACAATATTGACTAGATTCAGAAAGTCTTCCAGACTACTATACTACAACTCAAAAATTTCTTCCTGAAGCTACAGGTCAGGGAAGTTGACCCATATTTCTGCACAAAGGCGGCCTCTTTTACAGAATGATGGTGGTTGAAGGAATTTTTCACTGTCTTCCAGCTTCCCACTTCCAGTTGGCTGCATCAAAGCATGCACGTTCAGTGGTCAAAATCTTAGCTCCCTCTAAGAAGGTTACAAGGCCGGAGATCTCATGATCTTCCAGGTCTAGCCTTTTTTCACAGTGGGTTGGTTCATCGGGCTCAGAGCGTGGCTGGGCTGTTGAAGCCCCGCACCCAATGAAGTTTATTTGTTCTTCCCATTGATTCAAGCTTGTGGCTCAGGGGCCTGATTTGAGGCCTGCCGTTTGTTTGTTTGTTAGCTTCTTGCTATCTAGGAACTTGTCAAACATCCTTCCTCTTTGATATCCCAGAATTAAAAATATATCCTGCCAGCACGCTGTTCAGTACAGGAATCCACATATGCTCTGGCGTGGGACACCTGTGCATACCATGTCGCCCAAGTCCCTTCGTAACTGAACTGCCCTTCTCCAATTGACTTCTTTTCTCATGTGACCTTACAGGTTAATCCAGCTGTCTTCAGAGCACCTGGTTCAATTTTGAAGATCTCTGCCTTCTGTAAAGCTTTGCATAATCAATATTTTCAAGATCCTTGAGTCAAAACCTGATTTGCTTTTTTCACATCTGTCTTTGTAGTCACATGTGGTGATGGCTGCATTAGAAAGAGTTTGACATTCTTTCAGTCCTGCTCTCACTAAGTATAATAAGTGGGACAAAAAATCAGAAATAAAGACAGACTGCTTGGGACTTGAACTGAAGTCTATTTAGCTTGTGAGAACTCAGTGCTAGTTGAGGGGTTGTCTTCTTCAGAGATGTCACACCATGCACTCAGTGCTGCTGTAGTGATGTCCCTTTCTTTTACATTTGACACAGTCCTGATCAGGTAGGACTGTGCTGTCTCCTCTTATCATTGCTGAGTGAAAAGAATGTGGGTTTCTCAAAAGATTTTTCACACCACTTACACACATTGCAGCCTTCTCAGATTTCAGCTTTGTATTAGTGGTGTGATGTGAATTCTTTTAATATGTTTGAGATCTGAGACTTGTCTCATTTGTTATTAAAGATTATGAGGGATAGTTACTTTTATACTTTTTACAGTATACTTTTAAAAAGGGATCTAACCAGAAGAAAAATTAATAGGACCAAGTCACACAATTTAGGTGTGTGAGGAGTGACTCACCTCAAAAAAGACTATTGAGGTGAATCTCCAACAATATCAAGCCTTACTGTAACTAATTCTGAGATCTGGGAAGCAGTGCTCTGAGGGAGACTGCAGCCACCATCCCGTAGCTGTGTGTGCTGGCAGGCAGGCATGATTAAAAACCAATTCTGGTAGACTTTGGTATTCAAAGCAAGCAAGGAATGCTGTGCAGCAGAAACAGAAATCCTCCAGACAATGTACCTCAAAGATGTAGGGTAGCTTATAGGGAGAGTAATTGGATGAATTTAAGGCAGAATTCAGCAAGTATTGTGAAAAACACTCAGGAAATCCCATCACCACGGACCACTGAATATTATGCGAGTATTCTGCAAAAGGCTACTACTCCTTGGCCTTCTCATTTGCTGTTGGTAAGGTACTGGGCTAAATATGTGGTTTGGCCTGGTGTGGACATCTTTATATTGTGTTCAGGCTGTATTTTAGAGTATACGTTCAGCTCCACCACCTGTGGAGCTTATGCAGGCATCCCTTGCCTCAAGAATATGCATTGCTTCTTATGATGTAGAATGCACATGGATGAAGCTTGAAAAATAACTGTTACTGATTTTTAAAATAACCAGTTCTCAAGATATTTTGGCTGTGTGCCTTTGATTTTTGCTTTCATAAGACATGGAGTTCTTGCCAAATGTGGGTTCTGTTTGACTGAAAATAGTGGAGATGGCAGTTGTGCCATCATTTGGGGCATGAGGTGTTGCTCCCAAAAGATTTTGGTACCGTAGGCATGTGTAGTGGGGTAGAAGGTAAGGGTATTCAGTTACTGTAGGATGAGTATTTCTTTTATCTGTTTTCTTACTTTTGATTCTTTATGAGCTTAATGGTAATGTAATGTAGTAGTATTCTCTTTCTGATGAATGTATACTTCATAAAATTTGGGATTTTTTTCTTAGATTTTCAGAAGAAATTCCAACAGAAGAGAATGAAAAGAAAAGTGATATTCTTAACATTTTTTCAGTTGCTTCAGGCCACTTATATGAACGCTTTTTAAGGTAAGGAGAGCTAAGAGGGAAATGAGAATTTCATCAGCATACTGGAAGTGTTCATCATAAAATTAAGCAGTTTAAAGAAACTGACTTTTTTAAAAAGATGTAAAGAATAAATTGTTAAAACATAGAAAAGTTGTATACAGTGAGGACCAAATTAATCTTTGCTTGAGAATAAAATGATTCAACATACAGATGTTAAAAAATACCATTACTCTTTGAAGAAAGAAAAATGTTTACCATGTCTTTCATGAATGCATGTGTGAAGTGTGAAAATAAAGGATGAAGTTCAGCCTCTCTTGATAAAGACAACAGCAGTGACTTCACTAGGGCTGTATCTATTGATGTTAAGTCCAAACTATGGATACTACTACATGGGCATATGGCCTTACTCACCTCAGTGTTCATTCAGTAAGCAATGATTGCTTTGAAGGCGTTCTTACAGTATTGCCTAATCTGTTCACAACCATTTCTGTTAACTTTTCTGATTTCTTTGAGTACTTGTCTACAGGTGTCAGATTTAGTGATCTTTCTATCCTAAAATGGGATTTCACAATTCCTTCATGCATATTTATTTGGAAAGTACTATTTTAATATGTTTTGATTTTTATTTCTCAGTAGTCTGATGCAGTTTGAGCATCTGTGTTTCTTTCCTTCAATCTACAACAACCTTCACAAAGGGAAAGACTTGTTTATTTTAAAAGAGAAAAGATTTAAAAATATTCTACATGCTTCTTTACCTTATTTTAAAGTTTATTATTTCTTCATTTTTAAGGCAGACTTGACCTCTTGTAAGATCGTAAGGCATTGCTTATCTGCTTTTTACAACAAACTAATGCCACAATAGTGAAAAAAAATTGAACCAAAATAGTGATTTTTACAGTTATCAAGGGTTTCTCAAGAGTCTCTTAACTTGAATTATGCTTTCTCTTTTCCAGTGTTTTTCATTTCAACAACCTATTAAATTCAACCAATATATTTCTAAAATAAGTTCTCTCAGAAGCCAAATTCATGTAAGGTGTTAAGTGTTATTCTAATTTTGTCAGGCACCTCTCTTAGAATAAACTTGTGAACAGACCCACTTTTGAAGTTGTTCCTTCTAATATTGCTTAACTAATCTGGATCAAATAAATCCATCTCAAAGCAGTCTCGAACAAATGCTTTTAATTAGAAATAGACAGAAATTTCTGCTTAAACTGGGTTAAAGAAAATTATACTTAGAAAGCTTTAGCACCTTTTCGGTGCAGTTGAATTTTAATGACGTATGTGTATTTGTTTGTTTATTATAGACTTATATTTCCACAGAATTATGATGCTTTCTGTCCTACATCATACAAAAACACCAGTTAAATTTTGGTTTCTGAAAAACTATCTCTCCCCAACGTTTAAGGTAGGAGAGACATCTTCCTTTTATTATTTTTTCTTAAAAATTTTAAGTATTTTTTTTACAGTTGAGTACTTATATAATTCAAATTAAATTTGCACAGTTGGAAATTATCTCTGAATGCATTAAGTCTCGTGTATGGTTCTTTCCTGGAACCCAAAGCCCAGTTATCTATTATAATAATTTATTCTCTGCTGCTAGTCTCCAAGAGCTTGAAGGAAATGCTTTTTATATTTACATAGCTGAGGATGCTGCTAGAACTAAAGAAACATTTAAAAATAATAATTATGTAGTCGGTAAAGCCAACACAGCTGCAACTGTGTTTCAACATTCCCTCTTTTTGCTTCTGAGTCCTTGTGTGTCACATACATGTGCAACTAACAGGTTCTTTGTTCTTTCAGGATGTTATTCCTCACATGGCTAAAAAGTATGGTTTCAAGTATGAGTTAGTACAGTATAAGTGGCCCCGCTGGCTTTATCAACAGACAGAAAAACAAAGAATTATCTGGGGCTACAAAATTCTTTTTTTGGATGTTCTTTTCCCTTTGGCTGTGGATAAAATCATATTTGTCGATGCTGACCAGGTAAGAAAAAATAATGCTGTATAAATGTGTAAGGAATTCAGTTTGGCTTCAGTTGATAGAGTTTCATTCTCTGGGGCCATTTCATTCACATGGTGGTCTTGTAAGACTATTGCAGTTGTATGAGCAGAACCAGTGGTGTTGCAGAATGTGAAATGCAATAATTTCACTTGTCTTTAGTCATGTAGAAGTTAAAGAGTCTCATCACACTGAGTTGCCCTAAATTGCCTCTAATGCCCGTAGGGAGAGAAGGGCACCTGGAGAGGTATGTGCGATCTAAAGGTGCGTTTCACCTAAGGCATATTCGAGTGATTCAGTCTCTGGGCTGATTGTGAGAGGACTTCTCCACTAACTGTGGAAGGGGTCTGAGGTGATTAGTTCAGACTACCTGAACAAATTCTAGATATTCTAAATGGCTGATGTATTTTAGGATGAATCCTGCCTCTTTTGATCTTAAATTTGTATGCAGTCTTTCACTCAGAAATGAATATTGTATAATAGATTGAAAGTTAACATGCTGTCTCAAACAGACAAGACATTGAAGAGTCTCTCACATGGTCATTAAAAACCTCAGAACAAATACGTATTTTGGTCCTTTTCCGAAGCTTGAGAATAAATTAAATTTAGATGTAGCAATGCAGACTGCAACTTTCTGCAGTTTCATCTGGATACAATAGTAGTACTGGTTGTCTGTCCTAACTACTGTAAGGATTTCTTTGTACTCCGAAACAGCTAAAACTTTTTTTTTTTTTAACCACTGATAAATTACATTAGTGGGGTTTGATGGAAGAACGATTGATTAATAAATAAAGGACATTTGTAAAATGTCCTCATAACCTATTTTTAATAGTACTTTACTGCTAGATAAAAAGATTTTTAAAATGATGGCATAATCTTGGAGTGCCCAAGTTAATGTAACGGGAGATGCTCGCTCCTGCATACTCCTATATGCTATACTCCTGCATGAAGGAATTTAATATTGGGCAACAAGAAACACTGGCTTATGAATTAAATATACTTTGTTTTATGTAATTTACTTATTAAATATGTTATACAGATGGCCACAGAATAAACACATTTTATTTTCCTTGAACAATAATTTGGTAAACGTAATTCCAGTGCAATACTTTATGTATACTCTACTGTTGTAGTGTCTCAGGTTTTTTGAAAATTAAACTTTGGGAAGCTTTTTGCAATACCTACCCTCATATGCACACCTTAAAAACAGTATTAAATTATAAAAATAAATATATTTCTATTTAGATTGTGAGAAGTGACCTAAAAGAACTCAGAGATCTGGATCTAAATGGAGCTCCCTATGGATACACACCTTTCTGTGACAGCCGTAAAGAAATGGATGGGTACCGCTTCTGGAAATCAGGATACTGGGCATCACATCTTGGGAAAAGGAAATACCATATTAGGTATGATTACTTCCTACATGTTTTTGTGCAGTTTGTGAATTTGATTAAAATCTCGGTCTTGGTATCGATCACTGAGGCATTCAAAAGCAATTGCCCTGTAGTCATTCTCAGCAAGAGATGAATAAGGCATGAATCCTGATGATGTATTGATTTCACTTTTTGTTTGTAGCTTCAGCTACTTAATTAAAAAAATATTCCTTTAGGATGGGAACAGGTCTTGGTTTCTTGTTACTTTTATTAATGTTATTAAAAATAAGGTGGAACTCCACAACTCTTTGTTCTCTTTTCTATCTTTGTAGTGCCTTATATGTTGTGGATTTGAAGAAGTTCAGAAAGATTGCAGCTGGAGATAGGCTTCGGGGCCAGTACCAGGCTCTTAGTCAAGATCCAAACAGTCTGTCAAATCTAGATCAGGTATATATGGCTTCAAGCAGTTTGGTTTTTTATTTTCTTTGTGTCTTAATATACAGACATTTTGTATCTTCCTATGTATGTTATGTAATTCTGAAACTATTTGCCCTTTACTGATGTTGTAGAAAATCTTCAGGTGTGCATATGAGCACACTTTAGAAAAACAGATAATTATTACTTTAAATAGTTGTTCAATATGAAAAAAAGAGGGAAAAACAGCATAGAGAACAAATGTATTGCACCACTGTCCTTATATTCTTCTTTAACAAGCTCTTTTCTCTTTTTCTTCCTTTTTTCTATTAATGTAAATTTAATTTTTGTAAGCTAACTGCTGATGCGCTCTAGTGGTTGCTGTGCATGGTCACCCTGGGGTGTCTGTAGCCTTCATTTATATAACTACACCAATTTTTAAAGCTATGTGGTGTAAGTCAAGAGTGCAAAACACAAGGAGGTGTTCAAGGCCAGGTTGGATGAGGCTTTGAGCAACCTGATCTAGTGGAAGGTGTCCCTGCCCATGGCAGGGGGGTTGGAACTTGATGATCTTTAAGGTCCCTTCCAACCCAAACCATTCTATGATTCTATGTAACTAGATCCCAGGTGTACAGAGTGTACTTAAATTTAACTTTTTCTTGTGTAGCAGAGGCTCTTTAGCTCAGCAGAAGATTGAAAACACAGCTCTACTGGTTTCTGCCTGAGTACATAATATTTTTATTCATGTCTCTCTTTGGGTGAACTTCAGAGGGCTTAGTAAGTGAGATTGTCCCTACTTTTGTAATTTTCCTTGTGGAATTAATAAAGCACAAAAGGTTTGTTACCTGCCTATAATAGTAAAGAGACCCCAGAGTAGCAAAGCCCACACCTCTCAATGCCTGCATTCCATGCCCTTACTCCACAAGTGAGTTTCTCTCTCCCCTACCTAAGTATACTACTGCCACTTGTTTTTTTTCCATAAATAAAATTAAAAATTTAAAATAGCAGTTCTTATGATACTGGACAAAGAAAAATGGAAACTCAAACTAGAGTGGGCACAGGGAGTTGGAGCAGCCTTAAGCTATGACTGATGTAACAGCAATAGTCAGATTTTACCTCTCTTTTCCAGACAGTAGAATGAATTATTGGCCCAGTATCACACACTTAAGAGTCCTGATGTGATTAGCTGTGTTTTTCAAACATAGTCTTACCTGTATGTACAAGGTGTCTTCGAGAAAGACCTTTAAGATTCAGAAGCTGGTTGCAGGGCTTCCACCATAATGCTGCTTCTTAGAAATAGTCATTAGTTTTATCTAATGTTCTCAAAATATTAAGAATGTGTTCAGTTTTGAGATTCTTATCTTTCAATGGCAGCATTAACAGTTGATAGCATATATCTCTTATAAAACTGTTGGATCAAATGAAAAGCCACTTAAGTATCAGATACCCTTCCCTCAGTACATCAGTGCTGAGAGCAGACATTAAGGTAGGTAAATCTTGGCAGAATGAAATTGGAATTACTTTGGAATGGGAAACATTTCAAAGTAATATTTTCATAGTAATCTGCTTTCTGACTGTATTGATTAGAATCACTTTACCTTCGTTGCTACTACCTACACCAAATACAGTATCATTCACAGAAATACAAACCATAGTGCAGTATCTTTTACAGAATCATGAAGAGCTTTTATCTACTAATAGGGATGCATTACGATAATTTTTTTTTATTTTTTATTGTAAATACCTGACTGGAGTGCTCACCACCTTTCTAAGAAGCAGCAGTCAGCTCTTTGCTAATCTGCCAGTGCTGCTGCCTTCATGGGTGGTAGCTAAGGTTATGCTAATATAATCCACAAAACCGAAGCAGATGGAGTGGGGAAAAAGGTCCTTCTAAATGCCAAGGACAGTAAGTAAAGAACTCTTAGGGAGAAAAATTACACATGATAAAAACCAGACTTCCAGAACAGCACATTTGATTGTTCTTTTTAAAGAGAAGTATGGAAATGTCTATCTATATAAAGATGACGAAACAAATACTTAAAGTATTTATACTAATAATAATCTGTTTAAAAAATAGATCATTAACTATCATGTTCTTTACTTAAAGAAGAAAAATCAGCAGAAAGGAATGTGACAGTAGAATCTCTTATTAAGCGGAAATGTTTTTAGATTTTTAAATTTAGGTTTTATTTTCTAATAAAGATGCTGCTTTAGAGGAGTCCTCCTTTAAAATTATGTAGTTTATTTGACTAAATGTGAAAACACTCATATTGTAAATCAAATCAAAGAACAAATTTTAAAGGTTGTGTGTAAAAGTTTAGAAGACTTTCATTTCAGATGTTTACATATTTTGGATGAACAAGAATTTTGGCACTGACAGTAAAAACAATCTGTTCTTACCCTTGTTCTTTTATTTTTCTGACTCATTAATATTTCCTCTTTGATCTTTTGGGGGATGTATTTTAGTGTTTTTGAGAAAAACTAATTTTATTCTGAAAGGATAAGCAACTTTTTGTTCAGAATTATTTTTAAATGTACTTCAATTTACTTTAAATCCTGGAACTAGTAGCTGTCTTTCTATTTTCTACTCCATATAACAATTTAAAAATTCACAACTTTGAGAGTTACTGTAGTAACGCAGCAGTTGTGATCTCATTTAGAAGGTCAGAGAGGCACAACAGAAAACGAATCCATTTTCTCTTGATATTGAGATGTTGATAAACCATTTATTTTATCTTCCAAAAATTCATAGAACTGAAGTTTTTCAAATAAGAAAACATTTAAATAATGTCTAAATGTCTTGACTCTCAGTGTACTTACATTTGATGTGATTTTCCTTTACTAATGTCTATATTTGAATTAAATAATATGCCTTTTATAATGCAGTTATGTGCTATTTTATTCCATCACATTTAGCAATGTGAATTGGCAAAATAAGATGTGACTAATACTCGAGTGCTGAGACTTATTTTTTAAATATAATGTAAGTGTTGCACATGTGAAGGAGCTTACAAATGGATCGACTAATTACACCTGTTATTTTTAATTATGGCCAGAGTATATGCAGTGTATGACCACCTGAGCTTTGTCTCATTTGTAAATGCTGTTCCCTACATGCAGCAACGTACTGGTTCAGAATTTTCATGCTTAGAATACTTGACTATATAATAAAGGTTTAAAAAAAAAAATTAAACTGAAGGAAGGAAAATAGCCAGAATAGCGGTTATAAAAGCTTTTCCTTTTCACACTCCTGTTTCTGGAATCCATTTTCCTAGAAGGTGGCTAAATTTAGAGCAGTGGCATAATCATATGCTTTTGAGCTTTTTTTTGCAAATTTGAAGAATGTAAAGATGGTTAAGTTATGCTTTAATAATTTCACACAGTCTAATTTGGCTCAGTAGTATTTATAGTATGACATGCAGTACCTGAACCATAAGTCTCAGACAGTAATATTGCTTATGTGAAGCTAAGAAAGGAAAGACCTAAGTACAAGAAAAAATTACTTAAGAAATGGGAGGTGGAATTGGCCATCAGAATGAGAGTTTTGAGTCTACCTGAAAAAGAACTAGGTGAGCACTTAGAAGGAAACGTAAGAGCAATTTGCAGAAGTGGTAATAGGCTAAGATATTGTACTTTTAAGTAGCTGCCTGATAACCAGTTACACTAAATTCAATGCTAATTTATGATTTTTCAAAATTTGTACAGGATCTTCCCAATAATATGATTCATCAAGTAGCTATTAAGTCTCTCCCTCAAGAATGGCTTTGGTGTGAAACCTGGTGTGATGATGAATCCAAGAAAAAGGCTAAAACAATAGACTTGGTGAGTTGATTTTGAGTTAAATTAGTTTTACAGATTAAAAATTTCACTATAATTTCTGTGGCTTTTGAAATGCACATATGCGATGCGTGGAGGCAGCCTTGCTGGAAGGCACTGGAACACTACTTTCCTTTCCTGAAATAAACCTGAAAATTAAATGTTGCTATCTGTAACTGGATATGATCAGCGTTTTTCATACCTGTACATATCATTCCCTGTCTTTTTTTCCATATTCCGTCAGGTTAGTGGACCTCTAGTGAAGCACTGCGAACTGTGCTCCCTACAAAGCAAGTTCCTCAGAAAATGCTGTGTAGAGCATTAATGTTATCATGGTTTTCTCTGCTGATTTCACCATTATAAGCTGGAGATAAAACAGAGCTTAAAAAGCTGAGGAGACTATCCACTCGTAGAAAGAAGAAAATTACTTTCTTTGGGAATTGAAAGAAGAGAGAGAAAATGTTCATCTCTGTCATTATTACCCCCATCCCATTTTTCCCATGTCCTCATTTTTTGACAATCCCCCATGCAGCGTGAGTCATACTTCAGGGCCATAATTCTGAAAAAAAAACAGACAATTGGAATCTGGTGCGAATATTCAGTATGCAAATAACTTCATTTTCTTTGTGTCTTTGCAGTTGTTTAGTGCATAAGAAAGCTTATTTTAACATGGGTACTCTTCAAGAAAGATTGAAATTACATTACTAGATCTTCTTTCAATCCCCATTATCATCTATCACTTTTTATTATGATTTCCACTTATTTTATGGAAGTAATCAATATCTTTTCTAGACAACACTAAAGGATGCATCACAAAATTAATAAAAACCATATCAGATTAATTTCAATATGCTAATGTATAGCTTGTATCTCCCTGTATAACTTGGTCTAAATATTAGTAGCCTTGTGCTAGTTATGTCTCTGCTATCCATGTAGTCAGGAGAAAATAAAAGTACTTACAGTAAAATGTTTGAAATTATTTAAATGGGATTTATTTACAATTTGTTTTGTGTGATTTTTTTGATTAATATAAAGGTAAATGAGCGTGCACACTGTCCTTCAATGAAATTGTAAATTCTAGTGAAATTATTTTAGGTATGAAACAATTTAGAGCAAAGTCGTATGTTGGAGAGTACATATATTACTGGGAGCTGGTGAGAGATAGCCACGTTTATAAAATGTGAGAATTTTAGACAGATATTTAAACTGGTATGGTGACTAGAATCAATGGTAAATAGCAGTTCTCTGAAAAATACTGTCTTTTTTTGCGTAAATGATTTTTTACTGTACTTCTCTGAATTCCTTGTCAAGTTTCATGATTTGCTCTTGAGCAGTTTCTGTCTGATGTTAAACTTATCTTTACTTAGAAGTAATCGTAGACCATTTTGAAACATTCAGAATGTTGTCCCAGTCACCATATGATTACATAGCTAGTTTTTAACAATAATACGTTTGGTGTTCTGCTGTTTATTTTTAGGGATGTTGAGGAAAAGATCACTTAAAGTTCCTTGGAGAGGTGGTATTTTCACATTTACTTTGTTTACATCTACTGTTTTAAACTTCCAGTGCAACAATCCCCAAACTAAAGAACCAAAATTAAAGGCTGCTGCCCGGATAGTTCCCGAATGGGTTGACTATGACTCCGAGATACGAAAACTAATACATCAAATTGAAAAAGAGAAGAAAAATCTAACATCATTCTCTCAAAAAGGTAATTTACATGCATATTCATCTGTTAGCTCTTTAAAATAAATATCAATATTGTGGAAATTAAGATTGAGGTCAGTAGGCACAAATGCTGCATTTGTGCAATTTTTCCTGCACTTAAAGAAATTGCTTGGGTCTTTTAAGTTGTGTGATGCTTCTTTACATAGGAGTTACACTAAGAGGATAAAATCTTTTGTTTCATGACAAAATCTACAAGAAGACTGTTAGTGGTGTCCTATTCTTAGAGTTCAAACACAACCAACCATTTCGTATGATTTGAGCCACAAATATTAAATGAAGTACGTTAGCTTAGACCTCACTTAAGGAATCTGAAGCTCGTACCTTTTAACTCAGTGTAGTCTATTGAGCAGTAGGTTACTGAGTCTCTGTTAATTCACTGGTTCACAAAAATGTTTTCAATAATTTGAGTCCTCAGTGTCGGTCACCTATCTTAAGGCAGTAGTAAGGTATCAGTTACTTATCTTTTCTTATTTATCTATCTTTTTGCCTTGACATTTGCGTGAAACCCACTTGCTGCTCTGCTGACAGAGCAGAACTGTCTCCTTCCCTTTCTCTGTACCGCCCAGATTTGCAGAGGTGGTCTCTGCACCCGGCTACTTGAGCTCCCCTCCTTTCAGGTTTCCTTTCTGGAAATTTCCATGTTGCTACCTCTGTCTTCAGACTGTGGTTTAGAGGTGTCTCTGCTAGTCTCAGTCCCCTGTCCTGTTTCCTTTTCTGTAGCTCTCTGTCCCTGTACGTTCCACCCAACAGCTACCCAAACCCAGGTACATGTTGGCAGCTTTCTTCTCACCCTTACCCAGGCACCTGAGAACAGAGAAACTGGGAGTGTGTCTGGAGTCGCTGGGAAATGTAGGTAGGAAGTCCTGGGAGGTCTCCTGAGCTGCTCTTTTCTGATATGTTACTGCATGGCCAAGTCTGAGGCATGTTTCACAGGGACAGCAACGGGCACATTTGTGCCAGTTCAAATCTTTGCCCCCACACATGGCAATGCTACAGCTTCCCATATTGGAAATGAACAGAATGCTTTCTTGGACAAACAGGTATGTTTTCCCTAACACATGGCATTAGAAGACACTAAAATAAATTTGATGCAGCAGACACCTGCCATGAAAACAATTATTATTAAGGATTGGCAAGTTAGAACGGAAAACATGATCTTCCAGCAGGGTATGGCACACAGCTTTCATAACTGGACTACAGTGCTATGCTTCGTAATACACAATTTATATTGTAATTTGTTTTTTTATTTTAGTTTACAGATTTTGTTTGTTTGGGGTTTTTTTCTAAAATAGTTTTAAAATTAGTTAAACAGCATGAGAAAACAACTCCCTCTTCTAGGACTTCCAATAAGACTTGACTTCTTGGAGTAACGTGAAACAAAAAAGAGGTGATCTCAGCTCTTAAGAGTGAAGAAAAAACTTAGCAGATAAATAAAAGACTCAAATCAGGGACAAACTCAGTTTTTATTATAAACAGTTTTTATCCTTTGTGAAAGCTTATGGTCAACTTTTAACAAGGCTCTAAAAATGAAGTTCATGTTCCTGAACTGACTGACTGACTAGCAGTAAATAGAAAGTAAAGGGCTTTATCCATATTTTACAAAACTAGTCATTAAGTCTTTATCTAATTGTTTTTTATAATTTTTTTTTCCTTTGCTTACAGGTGTTAAGCATGATGAACTTTAGCACAGCCTGTAAACAGCAGTGGTGATAGCCCAATAGTCTTCTGCAAAAGACTGAGTGGAAGTTACGACTGTTACATTGGCACTATTTGTAAAATTCTTTAATGTGAAATCAAATATTTTATAACTTATAGTGTTATTTAAAAAGTTTTAAATAAAATACATAAACAGAAGAGAGAAATCCACAGGTACTTGATTTTTTTTTTAAACCAGTGTAGAGTAGCTTTCCTAATTTCTTTGGTTTTCTTTTCCTTCCCTAAAAGACACTTTGCCCAGAGGATTTTAGAATAAAAAGAATGATGTGTGTGTGTGTGTTCAACTCTTCGAAGATATATGCCACACACATTCACTACATATGTGAAAACTGTTTTGTGTGTATTATTACATGCATTAAGCTAATGTATTTAAATATAAAGGGTTTTGGTTATATGACCATAGTTTTGTCCCTGAAGAAATGTTGTAGTCACAAGAAAAAAATCTCGGTGTAGCAAAGACTCTACAAAAAAAAAAAAAAAAAAAAAAAGGCTTCTGTACTTTAGTACCACATGAATCTTCATTCAAATTTGAAGCTTACTAAAGCAAGCAGTGTCATTTTTAATCTATTAAGCTGGATTGCTGCACTCTTACTAAGTTACAAAGAATCGTTTTTGATTCTCAGGCTCCTTTTGGTCACTTCAATAGTATGCCATAAAATTCCATTATGTTTTCTGGTTCAGATGATTTTCTAACCAGCATACAGTGTATCAGAACATCAGTACCTGAAAGGTGTTTCCAGTCAGTTCTGATTACCATCATTCTGTTTAGAATTTAAAATAAAATAATAAACTAGCCAAGTAATTTTGACTATCAGTGGTGTCTCCTGTAATTTTCCAAATACAGACTAACAAAACTATTGCTCTAATGGACTACTGATAATTTGATCCCACAAAAATTAGCAGTGAAATGTCCTTGCAATACACGTATTTGAAAATAGGAAATTTGTTTGGTAACTGAAATCTAGTGCCTTAAATACATGCTCTGTTGCTGGGCTAGTTTCAAAATAGGTACGACTGACCACAAATTTTTATAACAGTGGCTTAATGCAGTCTGTCAGTCTAAATGCTTGAAATGCTATAAGATAAGGTAATCTGCACTAAGTGGGTGAATCCATGGTGAGTTGCATGAGTGAATCCATGATGAGTTGCATAATATTTTCATATTGGCAAATAAATGAATAAATAATAAGAAAAATAAAGCATATTTTGTATGAACTGTCACTGTCCTCAGGTGTAGCTTATCCAAAATTGCTTATTCTAAGAACAAATATTTAAAATCATGCTTTGCTGATAGTTTTCAAGTCTTGGACGTACACTTTTCTTTTTACAGGATTTTGTATTTTTCATTGTATTATCTTTATGTATTTGGAACAGTTTCAACCTGTCACCTAAGGATTTTAAAAGTTATGTTGTGGGCATTTTCTCTGTATGAAGTACCCAATAAAGTATTTCCTGTGTAACCCAGTAGCAAGAATCAGTAAATCCTAATTTCAGTTCTCTTTAGCTATCCCGTTTCACTTCACTATCTGCTTTGCTGCACTTGTTCTCTGACATCATTAGTTCAGGATATCAGACAGCAAGTTGAACATATTTGAACATAGGAATTTCTTAAGTTGGTATTTATATACCCTATAGATGGACTTATAATTGACTTGGCAGATGTATGTGCACCATTACTATAAATCCAGTGCGTAATAAGGAAAAAACTGATACACCATATCAGAGAAAAAAACCATAATTCAACTGCATACTTCTTTTTCTTTTAAACTTATACTTCCAGCCTGATGTTAGCTCTGCAGCAGCATTTCACATTGATCTGTCTTGGAATTTCATGCATGAAGTGTACAGAGGAAAGCTCATTTTTTCTTTTTACGCCAGAAGTTAAAGGTTCTTTATGAAACCTTTGTTCTCTTTAGTTACGATTATCTGTGTGGGAAATTTCTGTTACACAGTATAAAAAGCAGGTAATTTATGTACTGATTTCTTGTTCATTTTATCTGTAGCATCTTGTTCTTTTAAGAATTGGATTGCTTCTACAGGCTTTTAAAAAGAAATAGCTCTTTAAATATTATTTCCTTGAGATTACTTAAATGATTAGAATATAATCTTTCAGAAATACAATTTGCTGGAGATACAATGATGATTTTAAAGGTTTCATGCCATTTTCTACAGTGTTGTATATATTTGTAAAAAAAAAAAAAAAAGGTTTTACAGCATTTATTTTTCCTGCCTAGTGGTATTTTCAAGAAAAGCTCTTTGTTGAAATGATGTATTGGTTTCTAAAACAAAGAGGTCTAGCAAATACATTAACTACTTCTCTGTCCTGGGTTCAGCTGAGACAGAGTTAACTGTCTTCATACTAGCTAGTAAGAGGCTGTGGTTTGGATTGGTGATGTATCTCTTTAAAGCAGCACTTTGATTCATTAGCATATAATTATATTTTTTAATACCAAACCAATGCATTGTATATCTTGTACAAAATACTAAAGGTGCCGCAGGAGAAAAAAATAATTATCTTCTGTATTATTTTGTATTATACAGTAACCATTAAATAATTGGTTAATAGATCCAAGGCCAAAAACAATTGCAGCAAGTCCTCAAATCTCTTTCTTTAATCTGAAAAAAGTGTTTGTGCTGGAAAGCAACAGCAATGTTCAAAACTCGGAGATGCAGAGAGAGCTTATTCCTAATTGCCAATTTCCAATCTGTGTGCTCTGCTCTGGGAAAGGGAAGAACACACATCCTGTATTATAGGAGCTACTAAAACTTGGTTCAAATGCGCACTAATATTGAGTGATAGTAAACTGTTCAAATTATGAGCTTATACAATTTATATTACTATTAGTGTCTTTTCTACGTCTCATTCTTAATATCAACTAGTAAGTTCAACAGAAAATAAACCAACCTGCACATGGGTTGAGGCAATCCCAATCACAAATACAGGCTGGGCAGAGAATGGCTTGAGAGCAGCCCTGGGAGAAGGACTTGGGGGTATCGGAAGATGAGAAACCGAACATGAACTGGCAATGTGTGATCGTGGCCCAGAAGGCCAGCCGGATCCTGGGCTGCATCAAGAGGAGCGTGGCTAGCAGGTCGAGGGAGGTGATTCTGCCCCTCTACTCTGGTGAGACCCTACATGGAGTACTGCATCCAGCTCTGGGCCCCCCAACACAAGGATGTTGAGCTGTTGGTGTGGGTCCACAGGAGGGCCACAAAGATGATCAGAGGGCTGGAGCACCCCCTCTATGAGGACAGGCTGAGAGAGTTGGGGTTGTTCAGCCTGGAGAAGAGAAGGCTCGGGGGGGACCTTACAGTTGGTCTTCCAGTACCTGAAGGGGGCCTACAGGAAAGCAGGGGAGTGACTTTCTACAAGGGCATGTAGTGACAGGATGAGGGGTAATGGATTTAAACTGGAAGAGGGCAGATTTAGACTAGATTTTAGAAAGAAATTCTTTCCTGTGAGGGTGGTGAGGCACTGGAACAGGTTACCCAGGGAAGCTGTGGATGCCCCATCCCTGGGCATGTTCAAGGCCAGGCTGGATGAGGCTTTGAGCAACCTGGTCTAGGGGAGGGTGTCCCTGCCCATGGCAGGGGGGGTGGGACCACATTTTAGGTCCCTTCCCACCCAAACCGTTCTGTGATTCTGTGATCACTTTTTTGCCCCCATCTTCTGCTGAGCCTCATTCAGATTTACTCTTGCAATGGGTGGATTCAAATCCCCCTGAAGCAGTGGGGTTGAGGCTCCGGCTGTCCCAGTGCCTGAGAGGGTGTGCTCACAGTGAGGCTACTGAGTAATACAGGCTTGAGCCATCATTCATGTTAGCTATTATTTAATCCTGAATGTCAGACACATCCCAAACAGCTCCTTCTGACACTCCTCAGGCAGCTCCATGTTGAAAGTCTCCATTGTTTGTGAATTGCTCTCCCGAAGGCAGAAGTCACACAGTTACAAGCCACAGTCAGTATCGCTGAACCTAAATTTCTCTGTGCTGGAGATCTTGGTTCTTCTATGTTTGAATCCTCCCTCTGGGGAATGAAGTGTTCTGGCAGACTCTCAGCACACATTGCCAGAAATCTTGAAAAGGATGTCACATAACTAGCTTTCTCCAGTTATCAGTGTGTCACTTTGGACCACATTTTGGGCTCCAACAGCCATGTTTTTATCACCCTTAACATGAGCTATCCTATGGCAAGCACCTAGCATTCTCTACTGCACATTAAGTCTTGTAGTTACGACAGTAGGAAAATATGTTTTGCCCACAGAAAAATTCCTCACCTTTAGGAAGAGGATGCAGATGATAGACCACGCCCTAGTGTTGTGAAAACTGCCAAAACTTGGCAACATTATAAGCCCTGATAAACAGCAGCTCAGCATGACTCTACCTGTGCTGCTCCTGTCTCTGTACATTGTGTCCCTCCTCTGCTTAGTCACATGGATACTCTGCTTACAGCTGTGAGCCTGAAGAAAAAAACACCGTCAACCACACAACTGCCAAACCAAGCCAACACTCCTGCTGCAGCTCCTTCACCACTCCTCGTAAAGTTGAGATTCCAAGAATCTCTCCTGGACCGTAACTGCACCTCTTACCTTTGTGCTTTTTTGAGGCCAAGAAAGTCTGCAGTGCTTCTGACAGGTAGGCCACAGGTTTCCACAGACATTGGGAAGCCACACTAAGGAATCTCACATAAAACATGGCCTCTTAAAGAGGCCTTTGCTTCCAACCATCCCCCCAAAAATCTCATCTCCGCTTCTGTTGTCTGCGTTCATTTCCACACCTTTGGCAGCTGCAAGCCGTGTAATTTTAAATTCACACACCTTTGCTCTCACCAGCTGTGTGTACATATCCATGCCCTTCACCACTTTATGCATGGATGTAAGGTATGTATCCTTCACCCACACACATACATGAGCGTGTACAATAAATTGCTTCCAACCAAGAACTCCTAAAAATCAAGTTTCTAAGGGAGAGGTTAAGCAAATAACACGCATGTTTTGATGACTGATGAGGAGCTCACTTACTTACCCTGTCATTCATGCACGTGTATCTGCTCTGGCTGACTTCAGGGAGGACTGTCATCTTCACACACGCCATGGATGTGACTCCGCTTCATTTCTCATGTGGCAGTACAGGGGTTATACCGGTGCCTGGACTGAGCCCTCAGTGGCTGCTTTATGGCAGTGTGTGTCAATTGGCACCTTCTTCAGTAAGTCACCGCTGGAGTTCAGGCTCTCCTGGAGGAGCACTGTGAGGGCAGGGCCTGCTCAGAGGCACATGATGCAGTTACTGCTCTAGCCTCCTACAGACTCTGCCTCTGCAGAGCAGCACTGCCTCTCATCCTCTTTAGGTGGCCTTGAAGTCCAGCTGAAGGAGCTGCTGTGGAAGTAATTCCTGCAGCCTCCACAACTTCTCACCTGCCTCCCAAATTCTGGTGCTTTTTTCAGCCCCCTTGGAACATTCACTGGATTAAAGATAAATATAATAATAACAAAAATCTATTCACTGTCTTTAGAAGTAGTTTTCATCATTGCCTAGAAATCACAGCTTAAAGTACACACCCAGCTTACACATCCCACACACCCTCAGCCACCCATCTTCTCCCCAGAGCTGCTGGCTGGCCGTCAGTTCCAGCCTCGCGAGAGAGGGCAGAGGGGAATTCTTCCAGTCCCTTTGTGTCACCTGCAACCAATGGGCCACAGGCTGTCTTGGGACAGGCTGCTTTCCAGAAAGACTGGCTGCAATTTCATTCTGCCCCTCAGCCCCCCAGAACACAGCCAGGTAACAGTCTGGGACAGTTTGTCATACACTGTCATCTACGTCCTATAAAACACGTCACTGCACTCCTGCTACCTGCTCAGCTATGAGGACGCATGAACCAGCTGTGTCTGGCACAACAGGAAGAAAACAGTTTCGAAACCCAAGCATGAAGCATCTAAATGCCACTTCACTTTTTTATTTACTTGTTAAAGCCCAAAAACTTGCATTAGTGCTTATGAAATTTTAATTTAGCCTCCAAGGCAGCGTTCCAGCAGCCTTTTACTGCATTTCTGCACAGCTCTAACTTTGAGCAGGATGAGGAAAGATGGGCAGATAAACACACTGCACTGCTTTCTTGTCATCATAAATATCTTTATTGTGAAAAATACCATAAAATAATTCCCACAGTTCTAGAAAAAACAGTTCTTGCTTTTTAGATTTATGATTTTATATAAAGACATTTTATAATTTGAAACATTTGATAAATCTGGCTAGCTTTACTTATCCTTCTTAAAACATAGAACTGCTACTTTGAGATCTGCAGAGGGCAAAAAATTATTCTCCCATTTATGTTTTTATTATTATTTTATGGATAAAAGTGTGTATTACAAGCAAACAAACAATACCTTACAATAAGGCACTTTTAAATACAACTAACCTGCTATGCTATACTGGCTAATCTCCAGCAAAGCTCCTACAAATCACAGCCCTAAACAGAAGAATAATTCTTATTCCAAACACTGGTCTGAAAACCAAAATGGTAACAACCTTTATTTTTTTTTTTTTAAAAGTTTAAGCTGACACATTTTCTGTGTATGTCACATGTTTGAGCTCTTAAGTTTATAATCCATTTTGAATCTAATACTGATTTATTAATACATCAGTATTAAGCATGTATCAAGTAAAATACACTCTCCCCCACCTTCATGTTAAAAGAAGTTGGAAACTAGTTTATTAAAACTGAAAGAGAGAATTCATCAGAGAAAGTTCGCATCTACATATAGGCCAATTATTGTAATGATGCTTCATGCACATCTCAGGGTTTACAAACTACCAAGACATATATTTCAATGTTCAGTGATTGAACATTATTGCACTACAGACACCCACTAATAAATAAAAAGGCAATTTCAGCTTCCTTGTACATTGCCTGCACCATTAATGCTCAGTGTGTTACCAGCGCTTCATTTTCTAACACCACATCAGGAAATGCATCACCATATCTGGAGATCCTTGAAATGTAAATGCTTGCTTTTTAACACAACTTTGTCCTTCTGTATATTCAGAAGGACCTTCGAGCTAAAAGCCAGCATCTGCTTCCTTAAAAACAGCACTGCAGTGACACCGCTTCTTGTCATCAGCAGCTGCTTAGTATCAGAAAGCCTTGTTCTCCATTGTCACTCTTTTTGTTTTCAAGACACTGTCTTCCATAAAGAATCTATGAACAGCATTCACACATTAATCTTCTTCCTCCTTCTACTGACTACATTCAAGCCTTTTTTTCCTTATTATGTAATTTTCCCTTTCCCATTCATTCTCAAAACAAACAATCCTTTTTGTTCCTGACTGCTTCCAGCGTACAGCAGAACTGTCCATTGCCTCAAAGAAACAAACCTGCACTGCTCTAACGTCAATGCCTTGTATGAATAATTTACTTATGAGGGACCATCTTATTCCTTCCCCAAAAGAAAAAAAATTAAAAACCAGGAAACAATCTTCTCAGCTATAGCTTTTAAAACAGAGAAGGAAGAGGAATGAAAACAAAAAAGCTGAACCAGGATAGTCCTTTAAAAGAGGATTTCTCATTTCTAGCACTTCCCTAGCACACAGACATAGCTGTCTGTGGTGTTTATTGTGGCTTCCTGAAAATGAACAACACTCCTGTATGTACAAAATACGACATATTGCTTACACTGGTCATTCAATAGTAATTTAAAAACAGCCCCTTCTGTAGTGACCAATGCAATATAAAAGTGTTTATACAGAGCAATGGCTCACATACAAACACCTACAACAGGCAACCTGTACAGCAGCCACCCAGCCCCCAGCCAGCGCCGCTGGGCCTGGCTCACCTCTCGGGGATGGAGGGCCGACAACAGCCAAGAGAGGCCACTGCCCATGAAAGCTGCCTAGCAATCTTTTACTGAACTGTGTGAGCAAAAAGCACATGCGCAGAGCGCTGTCTGCATCAGCTGATACCACAGGGTAACAGGTTATTGTGCAGCAGGTTCCTATTCTGAGCCCTAGAATTCCTACAAGAACCATGCTAGCCTAGAACGGCGTGAACAGCATCCTGAGCATCTTCTACAAAGTTTAAATAAAAAAAAAAAAACAACTTTCAGACAGGGCAAAAGCAGAATTCAAACTTCTAGAAAGTCATTCAACTTTGAAAATAACTGACACTGGAGTTCAACAGGCCACTGGGGTGGTTTTGTACCATAAACTCTTAGAAATCATGACATATTCTCTCCAGCTTGAAGATAAATTTCTGCTGAACGAACATTGACCTGTTGCAAAACATTCGACAAAGCCACATGGCCTCACAATTATGTCTGTAAAGTACTTGAGGCAGGAGACAAGGGTTATACTTCAACTGCAACTCTGCTTAGAGTAATAAAAACCCTGCTTTCAGACTGAAGGCCTTATTTGCTAATTTCATTTGTTTTACTGAGGCTGCTTATGCTTTCAAATGCCACACGTTGAAGTGAGAGAAGATTTCTATCAACTGATTATTGTTTTCCAGTTAAAATCCAATCAAGAAAACACTGATGAACTGTAATTCTTATATTCTAAGAAAATGGCTGCTGATGAAACTCATCAGTAATTACGATATATTCGGTTACAGAATAAGCAGACTGTTCACTCACAGCTGCTACAGTCCTGTTAATACCTCACACCGCATTCACACAGTTCCATCAATACACTAAACCAATTTTGGCTACGTGCATATAGGAAAAAATAAAACAGGCTTTTGGCTAATGGAAAGTCAGTCCCCCTTTTTGCACACAGGCAGTTGTTTTTGCAGTACCGTGGCTGTTACACAAAACATAACATTACTTCAAACAATTTCATATAGTATTAACTCACTGTTGCAACCCCCAGCAGAAAAGAAGTTATATTACAGGGTAAGGCTAGAGTTAATATCGTATTCCTACAGCCCACAGTACACTCACCTCACAACCTGTATTGGTTCTGAGTTTCTGTACAGAGAAGTAACAAACTGCTGCATAGTCAGGGAAACATCACATCAAATTTTTTGCTCAAATCTCAAGCAGGTATTTTGTTAAAGTGCAAATTACTCAAATATGATACCTAAACATTCCAAATCACATTCAGAAAAAGTCTTTCAAAAAACATCAGGTATATTTTTTTTTACTTTCATATTTGACAATTACCACCAAGGAAAGCATCCCGGGTCTTTTCTGGTTAATGAACAAAGTGTGTAGACATTTTCAAATACAATTACTTACAAGCAGTCTTCTTTCAAAGCGACTGTTCCAACTCATTCAGTACGCAGCCTCTTCACACTACCCGTGGCTCTGCCAACAGTAATGCAGCACGGGGTCACTAGGGTTTCCTTTTAAAAATACTGAGGTGGATCATTCTGCTGAGAACAATGACTAACAATTCGTTAATGGAGAGACTATTGTAACTACCCTTTCTGCATTTACTAGGCCCCGATTCAGAAAAATATTTACATGCATTTTTACCTTTAAGCATACGCTTGAGTCCTAAATTTGTGTTTAAGTGTTGTCCTAAGTAGCTTCTTACTGTTTTTTCCGTCCATAGGAATAAACACGTCCCGCATATCCACAACAAATACATAGGCAGTAACAACCCCCCCCCAGCAACCAGCACAGCCTTGTCAAGTCCACCACAAGCAAACTCTCTGAATGCTAAAAGAAAGGAGGAGCTTTCTTCTAGTGCAGTAAGACTCTGGGTTAAGGACAACATTAGAAATTAAGATTTTGGGTCTTGAATTGGCAGACTTTTTATTTTTCAACAAATTAAGTAAAAAGAAAAAAGCAGCAGCCACCAGAAACAGTCTTGGCTCTAACTGAAGTGAAATTTGAATGTAAACGGTCCTCCTCCAGAACCAAAGGGGTTGAATCCTTGCCACGTGTTCCAGTTCCTGTGGAAAGGGTTGCCCCCACCCTGCTGACTCTCCGCATCCAGTGGGTCCTCTCCCGCATCAAACTTCCGCCTCATTTCTGGAGGAAACAAAACCAAGGTGGAATCATGGCACAGTAGTTAGGGCAGTAACACCAAGCATCTCTGACGACCAATAACCAATTCAGAATCGTCTCCCCTGGCCAGAGAACTGCAATTATCACTTCCATTGGCAGCATCTGTAGAACCTAGTTACTTCGAGTTTTTCAGAGCTGTCCAGGAGACTAGCAGAGAAGAGACTAACTCCATGAAAACACTGTACAAAAAAACTTCAAACAAGTCATTTGGTTTAAACCAATGAAATACAGTACCTGGCTGTCCAATAGGACAGGTATGAATTTCAACAGGGACAGGACAGTTGCACTTGGACCGAGTGTGTCCTACAAATAGTTGGGCCATTTTGTCCTTGATGAGTTTATTGTATGTTCTCTCACAGCTGCAGTCACTCAGGACAGTCTGAGGACAGACCATGCTGTATCCTTACAATTCTTTACAACAAATAAAGTCCAATATTGATCATTCAGTAACAGCATGAAGGTCAGCATGCAGAGCCCCAAACTCTTTCAGCCTTTTCCATGTAGCAGTCAGGCAGAGAGGTGTCTAGGGGGTGGCAGTTTGGAGGCAAAAAGCACATTCTTCAACTAGTTTTGTCCAGTGGGGACAATGTTGAAAGCCTTCCCCAAGACCCACAGACAAGTCACAAGCTACACCACTACTCTGTTATTTACACCCACATACAACTTTCAAGCATCCTGCAAGTGCCACAAGGTTTTTCATCACCTGGCACTTTTTCAGGACACCCATCTTATCAAGGCAGAGAATGGAAGCAAAGGAGTTAGAGAGGGAATCATGGGACTGGCTGGGGAAGGAATGTGGAAGATGTCCTCAAAGTAAACCAGAGCCCTATGATCTTAAGCTTGCAAATCAAAGCTTAGAGATTCAGAGGTCCACAGGCTTTACAGTTTTTCTTTACATAAACAACACGGCCACTAAAGCTGGAAAATGACCTGGAAAAAATATCTGGATGAAAGGAAAGAATGTCATTGCAATAAGAAGAGATGGAAGGCAATACAGATGGCATTACAAAAGCCAAATACAACCGGTGTTACTTTTCTTGCCCTGTTGGCTTGATAGGAATGGTAAACATGACACAAGAAACAGTGTCAAGGAGAAAGCAGATGAACATGTCTTGGAGATGTTGACAGCACAAACAGCACTTCAAAACAGATTTGATGCAAGTTTTAGTGCACTGCTTTCTCAAGATGGATAAGGGGGGAGAAGGAAAAAGGGAAGCTGTAATGATTCTTGACTTACATTTGCTGCATTTTTACATTACTGTAAAAAAGTAATTTAAAAAAAATTAAGTCACTGCATAAGAACAATTATTACCTGGGTCAGTGAGGACTTCTTTAGCAGCTGCTATATCAATGAATTTTTTCTCTGCTTTCTTCTTTTCTTCCTCAGTCTGGAAGTTATCAGGGTGCCATTGGGATGCCAGCTTTCTGTAAGCTTTTATGATTTCTTGCTTTCGAGCATTTCTGGATGGATAAAATTATCAGTAACTTACATTCTTCTAATTGTTCATATGCCACACTAGTGAATCTACAGGTTTATTTTAAACAGAGGCAGTAATTAAGGGCATCAGGAAAATTATGAGTTAGTTAACCTTCTGCAGGTGGCACTGAACATTTTCTTTACACAAAGACCAAAGGAAGCAGGTTGCAGCTTTAAACAAAGATAAAACTTTCCTTCAACACCCAGTTACATTATTTGGAAAGATGCTACTGTCTGCTACTACGCTGTATACAGTACAGTTCCCCGTATGAAGAATTTACAATCAGGAGAGTAACAAAACACACAAAGAGCAGAGATAAAATTAGTTCACAATTAGAAGGATGACCAATACTAGTTCAGAATTGGACATTTGTGTGGTCTTCATTAGAAAGAGAAGTAATTAGTTTCTAAAGGTTAATGGCAGAAGTATTTGATACATTTCAATTAGTCCTTTCAAACTCTTCCAATCTATCACACTATCTGCCACAATTTTACTTTTTGTTGCTTTCAGTAATTCTTTCCAGTCTTCATTTCTTCCCCAATTCATTCACCTGACTCTTGATCACCTATACTAAGGTTTTCTTGCCAAGGGATTTACTTCCTCCTTCCCAATGTTGTTTTTTTCATTCTTTCTAAAGGAATTGTAAATAAATGCTACTTAAAAGCTGGACACTGCTGAACTAGTACAGTAGGAAAGTCAAAGCAGCGAGTTACAGGAACAAAAACTAAAACTCAGCAGAACAAATCCAAGTGATCAGTCCTAGATATGCTGGTTTAATAACCAACTTTCACATCATAATCTAAGATATTAATATCTCACCTTTTTACCCCCAAGATTTTATAGTAATCCCTCTTCTGTGATTGCTTCAGCATCCTCTGGGCACGTTCCAGCCCCTCCCGAATCTGCTGGTCATTTTCACTATTGGCCTGAGCAGTCTCATAGTCTTTAATAGCTTTTATAAAACAAGATAATGAAAAAAAAAAAAGATTACACAACTCTTTGCAAACTTTAATTTAAAGAATTCAATCACTCACCAAAATGGAAGTTTTGCTATTACCATATATGAACAGTAGAACTTTTATTTCTATTTGCCGTGGTTTTTTTCCAAATTAGACAACCTTGGAGTAGAGGAGATTAATTTTCACATATAAATTAAGTAAATTTATTTTTTTAGGTTCATGCTGCTTTTCGGAAAGGAAGGCAAGTTACTAGTGGCAGGTTAGAACATTCTCCAGATGTTACAACAGTCATATGGATGAGCCTAACGAGCATCTAGGACTGGGACAAAACTGAAATCAAGAAGCAAGTTTCAGCAACTACTGTCTGAAGAGCCCACTGCATTATGTTAGTCCTACGTATTAATGTTCAACTGAAGGATGCATTATACAGCCTCTTTAAATTAATATTGCTTCTCCCCCAGTCTGTTCTCCATAGAATCACAGAATGGTTTGGGTTGGAAGGCACCTTAAAGATCATCTAGTTCCAGCCCCCCTGCCATGTCATGGGCAGGGACACCTTCCACTAGACCAGGTTGCTCAAAGCCTCATCCAGCCTGGACTTGAACACCTCCAGGGATGGGGCATCCACAGCTTCCCTGGGCAACGTGCTCCAGTGCCTCACCACCCTCACTGTAAAGAGCCTCCTCCTTAACACAATAGAAAGCCTCTTCTTTCAAGACAATTAAAGATGGATTTCAGATTACCACTAAGTTCATAATTAAAGCAAATATTTGCTTTTTACACCTCTGCATAATATGCAGACAGTTATATTTTAAGGGGTGTTCTCCAAAGGCATGCTCTTGCTTTTAATTTCAAGAGTTGCATTTCTCAGGAATGAAATCAAGAGAGGTACTGTAAGGTATTAATGAATTTTTAAGAAATTACAGGTCTATTTTTTTATTTTAGTAAACTACATTATTAATTAAGTGGTAAATGAAAGCTTAAGACAGCAAGTTTAAATATTCTTTGATATCAAGATTTATCAAGGGAAGCAACTGTTGAAGTCTTTAATGAGACTGTTCTTCCTTCACTGTTCTAATGCTCAAAGTTTCATTTGCAGATGTGTCTCCTAGGTTTCTCAAGTTAGATAAAGTACTTGCATCAGATTATTTCCAAGCAGATGCTACTTCTCAGCAGGTGTTACATTTGTTTTTCCACTGTTTCTGAGTAAGAAAGCAGGAAGTGCTAATGAATTTGTATTACCCAGACATCTCATACCACTGCAATCTTGTTTTGGTCGTTGAAAGAAAAAAAATTCAAAAAAGTATTTCCAGTGCCCCTACAATTTCATATACTATTGCATACAACATAAAATTTCTATTCACTTTCACATCACTGGACACTGCCATTTGCTGCTTGAACAAATCATTTTTGCTTATGCTGATATTTTTAATAATTTGTCCAGTCATAAAAAACCCTAAATACACTAATGCATGTGGCCAATGTATGCTGTCAAAATTGATAAAAATAATGAAAATACCAGAATTTCATTAGCACCAGCGTACTTCATCTGCTTCATGTAATAATGGGAGGTTCCATCCCAACATCCTGCCAAATGCAGATCAGGTTACTCAACTTCACTGAGCACCACATCATCTACAGCACGCACCATTGCTGGAAACCATGCTGCTCAGGGGTCAAGTATTTGCAATGATAGCACTAGATTTCTCTTTTTTAAAACTGATTTAAAGGCTGCAAGTATTAAGCATATGGGAAGGTACATTTTTTTTAATGCTGCAAACCACAGAGCGAATGCACCCAGCACACCTGACAGCAAGTACATTTTGCACTTTCAGTTGGAAGAGACTAAATTTTGATGGCACTCTCCAGTGTAGGAATTTTCCTCTTTCAGAGAGCTAATCACCCTTCCCACCTGATGGGTGAGGGTTGGAAGCAGGATGACAGCTTCCTGACCACAAGAAGTTTGCTATGAAACCAGAAGACTTATTACTAATTCATGGTATGTTGAGTGAGATATTTAATCACTTCTTCTCAGTCACTATTTCTAAAAGCACTAGTACCTCACAAGCCAACACAAGAATCACTGCTGCTTCTTACTGGCCTGCTATTTCAGAAAGCATCCTTTCTTCCTTTCATCCTGTCCCAAGACAGGAAAGGAACAACTAGTTTCCAGTATCACTTTCAATTTAAATACTTTAGTCAAATCTAACTCTCTTTCAATACAAGAATCTTCACAATCTCTCTATCCCTGGAGGTGTTCAAGGCCAGGCTGGATGAGGCTTTGAGCAACCTGCTCTAGTGGAGGGTGTCCCTGCCCATGGCAGGGGGGTTGGAACTAGATGATATTTGAGGTCTCTTCCAACCCAAACCATTCTCGAATAGTATTGTACCATATCTCTAAACACCTTAGCTGGCTTTCCTGTCTTGCCTGACCAAGATTGGCCATTATTCCATATGCAGAATTAATTTCCTATCAAACACAAGTAACTACAGACAACCTATGTCCGTGCCAACCCTGTCAGTGAATAACTGAACCAGTTATGCTCTTACTGAAATAGGGACTGTTTCCTCCTACAGTTGGGGGACTGAGGGAAGAACGTCCTGACCAATTTTGAAACAGCAAGGTGTTTTTTTTTTTTCTTTGACAAATCTTGTGCTGTGTACTTTAGACAGAAAGACTCCTGTTCTTATAAGTTAAGCCAGAAAGGGAGTCATTACACATCTGTCTCTGTAGACAAGCCCTGGATCTCATGTGATTATAAAGTAATTAAAACCATTTGATGGGAATCAGAACTCAGCTGTACATACTGAAGTGCATCTTGAACATTTAACAACAATCGCCTTCGAAGTTCTGAATTACAAGTACTTCAAAATTTCCTGTCTTTAAAAAGGAGAATAGGTGCCTCCAGCTTGAAGTTTTCTTGAGGGAAGAATGAGAAGCAGTTTGCCCCTTTAAATATGAGACTAAAATTTTAATTGCTCTCCTATTCCCTACAGCAGAGAGAAATCAGCCATCATTTTATAGCAGCTAAAGCTGAAGGGTAAGTGAAGACACCTCCAGTCAGACTAACATTAATGGGCTATAATACTGTTTATAGAGGCTCTGTGGGAAGGCAGAGTATAACTACAACCATCTACCTACTGTCAAGGGCAGGAGGAAGGCAGGGGATATGCTAAACAACAGGAATTTGGAGGAGCATAGTTCCACTCTAGCATGGCTGTCCACTCAGAACCAGGCTAGGCCAAGCCAGCCAGCTCCAGCCCAGGAACTAAGCTCTCCCACATCCCAGGTCTGTCCTCTCTGTTTCCTTATATCCCATAATACAGAGGCATTTGCTCCAGCATAAGACCAAGTTGGCTCTGTGTATTTGTGCAGGACCTTGCTACAAAACTTTTTTTCCCCTCTAATTTGCAAGAGTTGCCAGATTCTCTCACCCTAGAGAAACCAGAAACAGAGGAGAATTTAATGTTAGAAAAATCCAAATCAAGATTCATCAATTTCAAGAAAACAAACAGATCAATTCTGTCCACTGGTAAGAAGCAAAAGGGACATTTAAGAGGACTCACAGTAGGGATTTTTAAGCAATCCCTTTGTACAAAGGTTGTAAGTTCTCCAAAATGCTGTTTTCTTCCACCCTTTTTCTTATAAGGAGGAAGAAGGCTTACCAGCCTTAGCAAAAAGGGACTAAGACTAGGTCACTTCAGAGGTACAAAGCCTACAGAGCTGATGAAGAGGACTGCCTGAAACCACACCAGTCATGTTTATACTGTGTTTCCATTTGACTCAATGAGGCCTAAAAAAAGAACAAAACAGGTATCTCATTTTTGAAGTGAACTTCAAGAGGTGAACCATATAATCTCTCAGTGATTAATTTCTCAAAAAGAAAAAAAATCTGAGCATGCTATTAATGAGAACAGCTGACTCATGAATGTCTGAATTGAAAGTAATTTTTTTGTTCAGTTGTAAAGCAAAAGATCCAGTACCAGAAAACAGAGAAGGAAAATTGTTCTACGAGTACTAAAATCAACAGAACTAGTTTTCTGATGATTTAAAGCCTCCAAGTCCTTCCCCTCATCACATTTGACTGAAACAGTCCAAGGCTTCAAAAACTGCTGCATGACTGAGCCCAGGGGTGAAACAGACAGACTGTCTGAATTTCCTTCTTAAGCCTAGTTTCTTGTGGAAATGAGATTCACTAAATTAAATTTTGAGTATTTTTTTATAGTACATTAGCACTTAGTACTATTAAAGAAGCTAGGTAACAACACAACAGTATACTTGGAGACACTCACTACTCAATCCCTACTTTCCAAGGCTGTACATAGGACCATGGAACAGGAGCCACTTTATGGAAATCCTCTCATAGAAGATGCGGACTCAGGAGCAGAATCAGTTTACCGCTCTTAGCAGCACTACAGAGACACATGGAGGTAAAGCAATGGCTGTTACCTTCCTCTGCCCTCAACACATGCTAGGGGATAGAACAGTATTGTTTCACGCTGCCACCTAAAGATGTTAAAATGGAGTTCTTAAAATGGATTTACATCACCCTGACTATAATTACCTTTTATCTCTACATGCAATTCTCTGACACTGATGATTATATAAATTGTGTTTAAGTAAGTCAAGTAAGCTGTACAGTCTCATAAAACATCCTGAACATAGCCCACTGTTGTAAGGACAACTCTGCCTTAGATAAAACAAGCACATTCCACTTATACTAATCAAGACAAAATTACCAGCAGATATTTTTGTAAATCTGCAACTACCAGTGTTGATTAGGGATAACAACATAGTATAGAATCAAAGTGAACGCTAGAAATTTTTGAAACACTGGCTGCATTTTAAACGCCCACAAAAACGTGTGTGCAAACTGCATACAACTGTACCTTCTTCATACAGGTCTTCCAGCAAATAAGCTTCTGCTCTGTCTTTCAGGGCATTCACATTGTCTGGTTCCAGTTGCAGAACTTCTGTACAAACTTTTATGGCTTCTGTAGCCTGCTGATTCTAGAGAGGAGACAGTAAAACAAAATTCATGTAGTCGTGGGTTTTTCAAGGGGCTTTTTTGTTTGTTTTTAAGAAATTCACAGAGGGAGACCGAAACAGAATTACCTTTGATAAACAGTGGCAGATCCTTTCTTTGGCACGAGTAGCATAAATTGGGACATCTGGCTCAGTTTTCATTACAGAATCATATTTATTGATAGCATCTTCATACCTATTTAAATCATAAAGATAAGCATAATAGCATGAAATGTAACAACTATTTCAGGGTGTTGTGATTTATTCAGAAATTTTTAAATTCACAGATGTTCGCATTCTTCTAGCAGTGTATCTTAACTTTAATAGTTTTAAAGGTGCGGTGTGAGACAACAGTATGAAGAAAACATTCAGCCACTTGAAGAATTAAATCCCCATTCCCTTTTCTGTGCTATGAGACAGAAGAGCAGACACTATGCCTGGCATGCTTTTGCAGAAGATTACTACTACCATCCCTCACTCTGCATAGAGAAGTCTAAATTTAGCCTTCTGCTCAACACACCTCTCCACACTTGGAAAAAAAAGCATCTCCCTCTCTGATATCTAGGGTGGACTAAGTCTGGAGTCTTCCTGTGAGCGTTGTACTATTTGCATTTCTTGCTACAAAAACAAAAAAAGTTCCTTATGCCAGCTTGAATTGCACAGTTGTTTTCTCCCTTCTTCTTTGCAAGTTACTGAGTAAAATGTGTTTTTACTGTGAAGGTGTCAAATATGCTAAAGTTCCACTGTTTTAGTAAGAAATTGATTAGAACATTCACCTAAAAACGCAAGCATGTGATTAAACTCATGGGCTGCTACAAGCTAGGAGAAATTCAAGCTCTAAGACTACTCCCTGGAAACATGCTGATACTGGATTAAATAAGAGACTGAAGTGAAAGGAGTCCAAACAGATGGCTGGCTGTCTTCAGTTGTGCTGATTCACATTCCTGACGTATTTAATTTAAAAAAGCCACCTTGACAAAGTTTAATCACTTGTTAGGGGTCCTTACAGTTGGACGTTGTGTGCTTGGGAACACGTAAAACTGAAAAAAAGCAAGAGGTAGAAGAATACAGAGCCACTGTCTATCGTTTAACAAGGTGCATAAAAAGAACCCCATCAGTCACATCCACTTTTGCTTATCAAGGCACTGCAGAGTTACTAGGTGGTTTTATTCTAAAGATGTGGTCCTTTAATCACAGAATGGTTGAGGTTGGAAGGGACTTCTGGAGGTCATCTGGCCCAACCCCCCTGCTCAAGCAGGGCTACGCAGAGCTGGCTGCCCAGGACTGTATCCAGACGGACTTTGAATATTTCCAAAGTGAGGGAGACGCCACAACCTCTCTGGGCAACCTGCACCAGGGGAAATGAGAGGGTGGTGGAAAGCATTTCCTTATGTTCAAATGGAATTTCCCATTGCAGTTTGCGCCCATTGCTTCCAGTCCTGTAACTGGGCACCACTGAAAGGAGCCTGCCTCTGCCCTCTTTGCATCCTCCCTTCAGGTATTTATATATTTATATACATTGATGAGATCATGCTGTAGCAGAGAAGGGTCAGATGCTCCAGTCCCTCCATCATCGTAGTGGCACTTTGCTGGACTTTCTCTCTCAGTAGCTTCATCTCTCTTGTACTAGGGACCTCAGCACTTCAGGTGTGGCCTCACCAGTGTCGAGTAATAATATACGAGAGCTGACAAATATTATCCCTATCTTGGTCTTACTACCTGCTCCACACCGAAGTAAAGTATGCAAAGAGAAGACAGTAGCATCAGAAAGAATCAGAATAGGACTGTCACTATGTGAGTCACTATTTAATTGTAATTTGAGAGCTATGATCAGTTATCCACTTCAACTGACAGATGCAAAAAGCATCACTTAATCAACTCGTCAATCAATAAGAAGTTGGTGCCTCAGTAATGACTTTTTTTTTTTTAATACAGCAGTGAACACTTACCTGCCTTCTCTAATTAATTCCTCTGCTGACTCGATCTGCTTATTGAGTTTCTTTACTTGCTTATAGAGAGAGAAACATTGCTTATGGTCTTGGTCCAGTTTCAGACACTCCCGGACTTCACTTTTCACCAGGGGGAGGGTGGGGAACAAACAAAAAGACATCACCATACATTATGAAATTTTACCTAGAGACACAATGCAGCATCTGTAACAGTTCACAACTTGGCCCTCTCTCTCCCTTCACCCAAAATTTCAAGTAAGAAGTCTTCCAGAACATACAGGGACATGTCTGGTTTTGGTTTTAATTATTTTGTATTGCCAAATAAACAAAGACTGAGAAGTGTTACATTAATAACTGACTAAACAGCAGAAGAAAAACATACCCTGGAAAATAAGTTATATTCAGCAGTTACTGGATAAAATTGTTTGTAGTTTTTCCTATATATTTAACTCAGCGACATTACAAAATACCTATGCAGAAGTATATTTTGTGCTGCCTGAAACAGACAAAGCTCAGCTAAAACCCAAGCCTCCTCTTGATGGAATATCAGCCAAGCCTGACCCTGACTTTTCAATGTGAAGACTGTTTAATCAGACTGATTAGGGCAGATAACTCTTAAAATAGTGAAAAGTCTTTAAAAAAACCCCTCCAGAATGCAATAATATAAAGGAATAAGTTTTGTATCATACAGATTCATCATAGCACAACCAAGGTGTTATATTCAGAAAGGGATCACAAAGATCTTATTTTGCTCCTAAGCACAGACAAAAATACCTATTTGAAAATCCTTAAGCCTGTAAAGGTGAGAAGAAGAAACTAATGGAAGGACAAGATTAATCACCCATCAAGTCCAAGAGCTTCACAACTCTTTCTTAGTATATCTCAGAATGCAAAAAAAAAAAAAAAAAGGAATAAAGAAAAGAGGCTTATGCCTTCATTTGGATACCATTCTGTTCCTCAACATCTCTCTCAATTGTACTTATAAACATCTTAGGATTCGATTATTAACAGAAGAAGTCTACGTATGGATTTCAGAGGGAAAAAAATCCAAACAAACCACCTATTCTTGAAATCACTAGGCTAAGTGATGGTCAGCTATCAGAAGTCATCACAGAAGTGACCTATAAGCTCCAGAGATTAAGTATACTCTGCAAAGAGGATCCCCAATACTAATCAATTAGTTAGCATTTACTAAAAAAGCTATAAAATGAATTTTTGCAGTAATAATCACATGCAGTTTCCATCAACCAGCCTTTCTCATACACTGCCAAGAAAAGAAACTCCGGCTTTTTCAGTTCCCTTCACCTCCTACTGAAGAGATTCTGTGGCAGAAACCTTGTTGGAAGGAGCCTGGAGATGGAGGTAGCGCATCCGAGATTATGAGCTGCACAGAATGTAAGGAACTCCTGATGGACCTGCACCATGGCTTCTATTTAAGTAAACAAAATGCCAGGAACTATCAACTGCTGGTCGGCCAAGAATAAACATGGTGTCTTCACTGCCAGTTCTTAGCTTCTGGAAAGGAGCTTCCTTTATCAGATCCAGACCAGAGTTGCTACTCCATCCAAAACCAGGTTTTTCACAGTTTATCATGACCTATATCATCACATCTTCTGTCTCAATTGTAATGATTATAGCAAACAGTAAAATTACCTGAGTGATAATTCATGGTCCCCCAGCTGATAATATATTCTGCTGATTTTATAGAAGGCTTCAGTGTTATCACTCTTTAATTTGGCAGCAGCTTTCAAGTCACTAATGGCTTTGCTTGGTTCCCCTTCCTTTATATAACACTCAGCTCGAAGTTCCCGTAGCTCTGCATCCCAAACACAAACCTTGAGAAATCAAAATTAAAGCTTGTTTTTGGTCCATAACACTTCATTTATTTTGCTCCCCAACAAAAGAAAAATCCCATTTAATTTCACTTTGCCAATTGCAATAGCATAAGGTTCAAGCTGCATGCAGAGCACATGAAATTAGCATCTCTGCTTCCTGGTGGATGCTGTGATGCACCTGCCCAAATAGAAAACAAAGGCCTCAAAAATTTGTAAATGATTCCATGAGCTCATGCAGGGAGATGAATTACATCTACTGGCACTGCTTCAACTGGGACAGTCTGTTGAGCCTCCAGGGAAGGATATCAGAATCATACATTATTGCATCTTCCCAAAAGAACAGGGGCAATGAACAGCAAGGACCAAGCTGTCAGTTGTTCTCTAGAAAGAAGTCTGTGGGCAAGATTCAGCTATGCAAAATTTGACCTTGGTATCTAGATTTTAAAGATACATACAGAAGTAGTAATGTCACAGTATGGCAAGAATAATTACTTAAAAGTAATTGCCTACCATAATTCATTTTACAGAACTTATTCTGAGTCTTATCATTTGTTTGTACACCATCATTTTAGAGAACAAGGCCTTCTGCTTTTTCACATTCCCTCCCCACAAACAAACTCCCACACTTTGGCAGTTTCCTCACCAAAAGCTAGAATGTTGTAAATTCCAAGTCTGTTAATTGCATGTGAAGACTCACAGCAGTTAACTGTCTTTCAATATATATTTCTATATGACACACAAAATGCCCACGATTCATTTATTCACACTTATACTATCAGACTACCTATACTGACTAAGATTCAACAAATGCAGATATCTAATGAACAAGCTGAAAATCTAGATAGCTATACACATTAACTTTGTGATTTTTTAAATCTTTTCATCTTTTAAATCTATTTCATTTTCTCAAGACAAGAAAGTGCCAACTTCATAGTGACCATCTACCGTTTATCAAGTTTCATATTAAGCACATGCAAATTGCCTGCATACAGGTCACAAAAATCTAGATTAAAAAAATCCCTATGCCTCCTATATTTGACAAAACTTCATTGGTTTGAGAACTTTTTTCCCAGTTTACCCAAGAACCCTGAACTGTGGAAAAACTGAAAGTATAATCAAGAAAGCTATCTCCAACAGAAGTTAGGGTTAAAGATACAACTTATGCCAAACTACAATCTATTATTTTGACTTTTTTACAGCTAGTGCTCAGCATTCTCCATTCTTTAACTTCATTACAGACCCATGGTGCTCAGTAAAACTGAGCCAATTACACCAAGTGTTTTAAAATCAGTAAAGAAGTTACTAAGCAAAAATACATAGAAGTCAGACAGGAGCTCTTACTTCCCTTTCACAGTACCATTTTACTTAACACTTACTGCCAAGATGTCACCAAGAAGAGAAATAGCGGCTTCATAATCCTCTTTCTGGTAGGCAGATATTGCTTGTGAATGCAGGCGCTGTAGCTCATCAGATTTTGTCAGCTGAGTCTGGGCTTCTTTTTCCTCATTATTGCTAGGATTGGATTTGAGCTGCAAATATTACCAAGGAGAGAGACTGAAATGCTTGTTCAAGGACGTCTTTTTCTCCCATTAATAACTGTATCATGGAGTACTGACTAGAGCTGCAAATACGGCAAAATTAGTTTTCAAATTCCACTGGAAATGTTTCCAGCTCCAAACTTCAGAAAAACAAAGGCATTTTTAGAATCATAGAATCATTTAGGTTGGAAAAGACCCTTAAGATCCTAGAGTCCTAACATAAACATAATGCTGACAAGTCCGCTACTTCCACTAAACCACGTCCTTAAGTGCCACATCTACGTGTCTTTTAAATTCCTCCAGGGATGCCGACTCCACCACTTCCCTGGGCAGCCTGTTCTAGTGCTTGATAACCCTTTCAGTGAAGAAATATTTCCTAATATCCAATCTAAGCCTCTCCTGGCACAACTCAAAGCTGTTTCCTCTCATCCTATCACTTGTCACTTGGGAGAAGAGATCGACACCCAGCTCACTACAGCCTCCTTTCAGGCAGTTGTAGAGAGCAATAAAGTCTCCCCTCAGCCTCCTTTTCTCCAGGCTAAACATATCAGTTCCCTCAGCCACTCCTCAGAAGACTTGTGCTTTAGCCCCTTCACCAGCTTCACTGCTCTTCTTTGAACACACTCTCCAGCACCTCAATGTCTTTCTTGTAGTGAGCTTCAATAAGAGTTGTCAGAAGTTGGAGAAATCCAATTCTGGCCCCCCTAGCCCCTACTGTTTACCACTGGACACATCATACACAACAGTCACTGTCCCCCAGCACACTCTGAAAATCATGGACCTCTCAACTGTAGCCTAGTTAATTAATCTCTCTACAGACAGTTATTGAACACTGGATTCCACAGCATCAGGAGAAAGTATATCCAGTTGGCATAATCACATATCTCACTTTAAGCACAATGCTCATTTATAAATTCACGACAAACAAATGCAACATGTCACAGATAGTATTACTGAAAAGCTGTGTTTCTTAGTTTTTCCCCCAGAAAAAGTGGCTACAGCAGCAAGTTAAGATGCTACAGATAGACAGAAAGGCTCAACTGGGATCAGCTGGGAGTTTACGCACTTTGCTTCTTATGTACTTTTAAACAAGTCTAAAGTTTTGTCTACAAAGGCTCTCATTTTTCAAACCCCTCTCTCTGAGCAAGTACAAAAGATTACATTGTGTTTGCCTTAATTTGTTTGGGCAGCTTTGTATTTTCAAAGAAAATAAAAAAAACCCCAAAAATCTCACAGACAACTCTGCTACCACTGAGGAAGAGAAATATGGGTCAGGAACAATCTCAGCTACTCCCTTGCAAAGCCGGGAAGTAATTTGTAAATTTAGTGTAGTTTCAATACGGCACTAGCTTCACTGTTGTTGCTGATCAGAATAACTTCCAAAGTTTTAAAAGGGACAGATCAGCAGGACTTGAATTTTTGTGGTTTTTTTTTTTTGCACTACCTTGCAGTTTGTACACAGAACACTGACAAAAGTTACTAAGTCCTTAAGAGTCATGCAGTAGTTCTTTCCTACTTTATTTTGAAGTGGCCCCTTCCCTTTTTCTGATCAGTAAGTTGTCCTTCATCTTCTGTGGATAAGTCTCCAATGTAAATCAACATCACCCCTCAGAACTCCTTTAACAAAATTTCCCCAGGCTCTAACACTTAAGCTTATGAAAGGAAAAAGCCTAAATGTAACATCAAAAGCATGCACAGGTCCCACCTCTGACTTAGATTTTTAATTTAAAGTCTTTCTGAACCTTATGCAGTTGTTTCATTTTAGTCTGGCAAAGATCAAGTTGTACTTAGACCTGACAATTCTCCTTTAGCCCCGACACTGTCTTTCACCAAGAGGAAAGAAATGTGATCAAAGAGTTTTCTTCTTTGTAGGCTGATCCCTTAATATATGCCTGAAAACGCTTTTCTGCTGGTCAGAACAGAAACTCTGCCTATAAACCCCTGATACTGTGTATATTTTTTTCTCCCCCCAAATCCAGAGCTTGTAGTAGAGGCAAATTTCTGCACCTGTAATTTTAAAAGTTAAAAGACTACAAAATTCTCTGAAGTTCTGAGCTCTTTGGTTCCAGCTGACTTGCTTCATTTTCTCCCTCAATTTCTCAGCATTTTCCTCTCTTAAAAATTAAGAGCTTTTGCTATAGACAAGCTTTATGCTTCCAATTAAACTTATCTCACCATAACATTGCACTCCTTAAGACACACAGGATGTTCTCGTAATTTATTTAGAGCAAAACAAAAGTAGAATATGAAAAGCAATGTTAGAATTATACAGACAAGTCTAATAGTAACATAGACCATTTGAGTGAAACATCCTAGATATTATTAGGTAGTACAAACTGTTCAGTTAACAAAGAAACGGAAACTTCAAGCTATCACTCAAACTAAAGCCATGAAATGTTTGTATGCTACAGTATGATGAAAATATACACTCATCAGCTCTTAATAAGTAATTATATATTGCCATGAGGTTTTAATCAGTCATGTTAACTAGAGCAAGAAGAAACCTGTTCATTCTGCTTCCAGGAAAAAAGCTGGAAATGGGATGCAGTTGTTTGATACCCTCATTTTGGTGTACTTCCCAATTTTTTTCTGTCATTTGGCCCCAGAGGGCTGTGACATCACTGTCAGTAATCAATCCCATTTCAATTATTTCTACTTTTGCTGTGGAGCAGTAAGCTTGGAGGTGTCAAGTCAGAACAACTGCTTGCATTAAGTTTGCTAGATTTCCAAGAAAGTATTAAAAACCCTTCAAGTTGAATTTAACACGGGTCTAAGGCAAACCTAACAGTCCTTCACATGCTTCATCAATGGCCTCAACGCACAATGTCAGATGCCATGCTCTGCTCAGTTCTGCTGGACAAGCACACTGCTACTGGTGAATCTGTTTTCAGGACGGCATCCTTTGCTGTCTTTTAGGTTTACTACATTCAGACTAGAACTCTAAATTAGTTGCAGTTTAAGGTGCAGCTTCAAGAGCTAACCATCTCTTAGAGCAGCTTTCATCCACTACCATCCCCCCACAACCTGCAACTAATTCCTTTACAGAAAACAAAGGCCAGTATACAGGAATGGCTTTCTTACTGTGAATAATTCTCTACCACAGATTTACTACTATAGGTGCTGCTTTATTTTATAGCCTAACCTCAGTATAAGGGAGAAACACACCCTAGGGTAGGCAAAACTCCACTTTCCCTCCCCCAAGTGAGCAAAATTAAAGGGAACAAAACCATCATCCCCACTCAATTTATCAAGTACAGCATTACAGGCATTTGCATGTATATCTATCTTTCTCCCCATTACTCTCCGTGAGGAAGTTGGCTTCTTCCAGAACTTTATCTCAAGGACTTGACTCAAAACTTTGCAATGTTGCTTTGCTGCACCCAGGACAGTGGGAAAAGGTATTAGTTCACATAATTAAAGCCAGCACTTTTTGGCACACAGAAAGTGCTCATCTCATTTGTATTCGAAGTAGGCAGCCTTAGAATGGCTACCTTACATTTGCAGTCAAACATCAAGTACTTAAAAGTTTTCTGATGGGAAAAGCTTTTTAACAAGCTAAATAACTCATGCTGGTTTTCAAGTAGCAACATACCCCCACCCCTGCAAACCTGCCATACTTTGTTCTACTTCACAAGTCCATCAATAAGACCTTTCTAACCTTACACAGGAGTTACACCTGTCACAAACAAGACTACATGAAAAATACAATCCAGCACTACTTCAGCAAAACTTTGTTAATAAGAGGCCATCGACACAGCTGAACTGGTAAACGGGCACTGACAACACACTGAAGCGAGTTCCATGTTAAACCACACAGGATCCATCTGCCTTCTGTGTGTTGGATGCTGCTATCCTGGAGATGCCATGTGCCAGTCAGCATTAATATATTTCAATGTGTTACAATTATGCTTTCTGGATCAGCAATATGCTATTTATTTAACAAAGCTTTACAACATTGTTAGTATGCAAAAAAAAAAAAAAAAAAAAAAGGATCCCCAAACACAGACCACTGACAGGACACAGAATTGGAAATCATGAAGACAAAGCAAGTGCCTCCTACCTATTAAGTTTAATAATGACTTTTTGCTTCAGGATCTTTTTCTCAGAAGCATAGGGAAGAGTTACAAAACATGGCTAAGCCACGACCTGTCATGCTTTCCAGCTACACAGTCCTACATCTTCCTTTGCAATGGCCTGTTAATGATACAGGAAGAGGTTGGGCATCTAGTACAGGAATCCTAACGAAGCACAGTTGCAGCCACCTTGAGAAAAAAAAAACCAAACCACACACCTTAAAATCCATACTCTCAAATAATGTAAAGATACTCAAATGCTACAGAGGAATTGCCTGAATATCTTAATATGTATTACAAACAGACAGTATCAACTTTAAAAACTCTTCATGTTGTTGTTTAAAAAAATGTTGTTAAAAAAACCCAAATTGTTATAGACAGACTGTTTCTATACCTTGCTTCCAGGGGTCCAGTGTCACTAACATAGGTATATGTACCTCTATACTTTCTAAAGCAGTTTTATTTTCTTGTTTTGCACACTGGTAAATACACAGACAATTAAAAGAAATTGATTAGGCTTGTGAAAAAACATTCTGAGGGGAACTGAAGGAACCTCCATAGTTTGTGTTATCCAAGATAAAGACATCCATACAATACACTCCAGAACATGGCACAAGCAAAATTCTGCATTGGCAGAACAATGTATTAGGTAACACAACTATGACAGACGGAAAAAAAGCACCAAACTATTTAGATACCATTTATTCTTTACCCGGCTGAGCAACAGGGTATCATAGTAGCACAGATGAATGCATTTTGAAATAAATAATCTAATGTTGCTCTGATCTGGTTAAGAGAGCTTCAAATACCCAACCCAAGCTTGCCCAGTAACATATTCAAATCAGGTTAACTTACAGTGCTATAAGACCATTTCCTCCACCTACATGCAAAACAGTATTACTACACATACCAACCAAC